CTTCACAAGTGTGATTATGACTTACTTAAAGAGGGGGAAACTGAGGCATGACTCAATCCAGGTCAGTAGAGAACTAGCAGGACTGGTGCCCATAGCTGCCCCTCACCCTCACCCCTCAACCTCACCCTCTGGATTTCTCTTCCCTTCCTATAGTCACAAAGAGAACCCAGGAGCCCTGACTCCCCTGGCTCTAACCCACCAGACACCGCACACCTTATGACTTACTTAAAGAGGGGGAAACTGAGGCATGACTCAATCCAGGTCAGTAGAGAACTAGCAGGACTGGTGCCCATAGCTGCCCCTCACCCTCACCCCTCAACCTCACCCTCTGGATTTCTCTTCCCTTCCTATAGTCACAAAGAGAACCCAGGAGCCCTGACTCCCCTGGCTCTAACCCACCAGACACCGCACACCTGCCAGGATCAACCATAGACTCCCCCAGCCTCCTCGCAGAGCCACAGAGAAAACCCAGGAGTCCTGGCTCCCAGACCCCCTGCTCTCACCCAACAGTCCCTGGTTCTGGGCGGGCTGATGCCGACCCAGCCTGTGTGCTGGGCTGGTTCAAGATCTCTGCACCTACCTACTACTGATTCTGTTTTTATGATCCCGCAGGAATCCAGTTGCTCTCTGCAGACTTGCATTGGGCCCGTACAGCTGATAGGGCCACCAACGCAGACCTCACAGGAAACACAGGCCCCTAGGGAAGCAAAGGCAACAGGATCCATCTGCGCTGAGCCTTCTCTGCAGCCCCATTGATTGTAAAGGAGCTACGGCCCATTGACCCAGCTGGGATCTGCCCTATTGATTCCATTAGAGCTGGGATCTCACCCTGAATTTCTTGGTTTTGTGCCAGCGATATCTGTCCCTCTATTGCACAACTAGGGGGAGGGCTGGATACACTGGAGGGCAGGGATCGGGTCCAAGTGACCAAGAGAAATTACAGGATTGGGCCAAAAGAAATCTGATGATGTTCAACAAGGACAACTGACGTAGTGGGGGGGAACTTGCTGGTTTCTATGGGTCTGTTGTAACCCCCACTGGCTGGCGCCGGGCACACAGCACAGAACATTATGCAAAGAGGCCCTCTCAACCAGTCCGACCAGCTAACCCCCATGGAGAGGAACAAAGGAAGGTGGAAGCTGCCCTGGCTGGGGCAGGGCTGGAGAAGAGTTAGTTACTTTCTGTCTGGGAGCATGGAGGAAGTAGCCTCAGCAAAGGCTGGGGGGTTTAGAAGCCGAGACCCCCCCCCCATATCAAGGGGGACTGAGGCATCCTAGGCCTGCTCTGTAACCCAATGACATCTATGCTGTGCTGTATCCTGGAGAGGCAATAAACCACCTCTATTCTACTAGCTTGTGGAGTCTGTTCGTGCCATTCCGGGGGTGAAGGAGGCGGGAGACCCCAACGTGTCGTCACACAAGTGCAGAGTCCTGCACGTGGGAGGGAAGAATCCCAAGCATTAGTACAGGCTGGGGACCGACTGGCTAAGCAGCAGGTTAGTAGAAAAGGCCCTGGGGGTTACAGTGGATGAGAAGCTGCAGAGGAGTCAACAAGGCGCCCTTGTAGCCAAGAAGGCGAATGGCATATTAGGGGCATTAGAAGGAGCGTTGCCAGCAGATGCAGAGAAGTGATTATCCCCCTTTATTGGACTCTGGTGAGGCCACATCTGGAGTATTGTGTCCAGTTCTGGGCCCCCTTCTATAGAAAGGATGTGGACACATTGGAGAGGGTCCAGCGGAGGGCAAACAAAATGATTCGTGGGCTGGAGCACATGACCTGCGAGGAAAGGCTGAGGGATTGGGGCTTGTTCAGTCTGCAGAAGAGGAGAGTGAGGGGGGATTTGAGAGCAGCCTGCAACTCCCTGCAGGGGGGTTCCAAAGAGGCTGGAGAGAGGCTGTTCTCAGGGGTGGCAGGTGGCAGAACAAGGAGCAATGGGCTCAAATTGCAGTGGGGGGGATTAGGTTGGATATTAGGAGAAATGATTTCCCTAGGCCGGTGGGGAAGCGCTGGGCTGGGTTCCCCAGGGAGGGGGTGGAATCTCCATCCCCAGGGGTGTTTCAGTCCCAGCTGGACAAAGCCCTGGCTGGGCTGGTTTATTTGGGCTGATCCTGCTTTGGGCAGGGGCTGGACTTGCTGCCTCCCAAGGTCTCTGCCACCCTGGGGTTCTGTGAGTCTATGAGAACCGAGGCAGGAGGCCCCGTCTCCCCAGGGAGAACCGGGAGGACCATCCCCCACCCCGTGTGGGACAGGTGCTGAGCAGCCCAGGGAGAAGATCTCAGAGCTGGGGCGTATTTCACCCCGGGGGGGGGGCAGCCCCTCTTCTGCAGAGCAACTCTCCTGGGTGGGTCTTTGCCTGTCTGCACCGGGTAGGGGTCCAGGCACCCTCCCGGCCCCGTTCTCACCTGTCTCCAGCAGGGCCCAGAGGAGGCAGCAGAGGAGAAGCGTCTTCATGGTGCCAGGGTGGGAGCTGGAGG